ATCTTTTCCTTCTTAAACTATAGGTTGGCTCTTATAGATAGTTGAGGCATGCAAGAACTCATTCTTTATCTGTAAATTCACTGATTGTACTGTATGAGCATCTCATGTCATTAAAATCTGTCAGTCGCTATTCAGTACTTGCAGAAAGGAATCATCACATTCAGGACTCGTTCATGGCTCTTCACCATTTGTATCCTCTCCCAACAGTTTTATTTATTATTTTGAATTATAAAAAACATTATGGGTGTTGTTGCTAGAACTATTATTGTTGTTATCACTAGGTCACTATATTGCATTTGTATAGACGACTATTTATGCATTTACACATACTTTATGATAAACAGTATATACACAATAATTTGAAACCATCTTGACGATAACAAAGATAATTATTGTTATTAACATCAATTTTTAACATGAATAAAAACATAAAAATCATGTAACGATGAAAGTGTTTTACTTCATACTGGACGTTACTATTAATAGCTAGTTACATGATGCTTAGCTATTCTAGCACACTTATGATCCTTGGAATGCTTCTTACATGTAAATAAAGACCAGTCCTATAGTTTTAAGAAGTGAAAAGATGGTCATAATCATCCACACTCCAGCTGCAATGATAACTGAGTGAGTTATTCCACCGTACCTTGTCCTGATGGACTGAGACTAACTCTGATGATAGACACTAGTCATAGGACTCAGCTGAATACACTTCTATCTTCCTAGCAATGGAGGGGCAAGCGCCCTGGCTCCTGAAAGCAAAATTTAGAAAAACGGGAATGGCCAATGGTTGAGAATATTCCTATGATAAAATGCTATAAAAGCCAAAACAGCAACCAAAGAGCTTACAAAAGAGATAAATAGAGTATACTGAAACAAAAGGACAGCTCAAAGTGGCTCGCACAGCTAGAATGGATAGATAAAAGAGAAGATTGTTTAGCCTGTCTTTCCCTCCAAAAACCTGCCATTTTACCACCACTTTGGGTGCGCGTTAATTAGAATCATTTCGGTGCATAAGGTCCATTGCATTCCATTGGTATCACGTGATGAAAAATGGCAGCTTTCTGATGATTGTATCACAAAACTAGCTACTACTGCAGAAACTAGAGAGATCTATGACTACCCTTGACGGTTGTTAAAATCACCATTGTATGGAGAATATTTCTTATTTGATTATAGACATGAATATAAGAAGGAGAAGAGACAGTGCATCTTAACTTTGATTCTCTTCTTTACTTCATCAGATAAATCAATCTTCGCTAGTTTAAGATGTTAAAAATTACTGCACCTATCATAGTTTCTAGTGAATTAATGAAAGTCCCATTGACTCTATCTTGATGCTCTAAATTATTGTTAGAAGTGGTACTAGTGGAAGAATTTGGCCATTTTGCATCACGTGATACCAATGGAATGCAATTGAACTTTGCAATTATTAATCAAGGTCAACCGTGTCCTACCTCCTCTGGCAGCCGCCTATGCTTTTCACAGTTTTCAGCATTCTCTCCACAACTCTTGAAAAGTCGCCATTTTGATGATTAATATTTAATGTGACTTGTGGTCACATGTCATGGATAACTGAATCTGATTGGTCACGTCCACTTTTGGACGGGAGAACAAAACTACATTAAAGAGTGTACCAGACCCTTCCCCGCCGTCCACCCCAATGACTGTAGGCTGGCGAATGGTCTGGCTAGCGAGACTACTGACATGTTTTGTTAAAGAAAATCATCTTAATCTGACTCTTTAAGAGGAATCTTGTTGGCTGTATATACTAGGGCTAAATCACTGGATGTTATGTGAGTACCGTGGACTACATTAAATGTTATACTATTTTTAGGCTATTTTGAACCATTTATTACATAAACATGAGTAGGATAAGGATACACGATATTTTGAGTAAAAAGTAGGCACATGTAGATACACAATCAAGCTAAATAAATTAATTGAGCAGATACATGACTGGAAAATAAAACGACTGACACCTTCCAATTAAAGTTTACCACATCTTGCCTACAAAATCTCTGTGATACGAAAGTAGAGACCTGGGTTTATGAGGAATTATCAAAGGGGTATAAACTGCATGAACAAACTTATAATAAATTTAAGCTAATTATTATTGTGAGATGAATGACTAAGTTTAATTGACTATAATTAGAAGTATATACCTTTCATTATGGATTCTCCGTTAACTTTCTAGTATTGAGCCAAGCATTGAAACAGAGCCAGAAGACCTTTCTGCAATAATCATGACACTAGTGAAGACGATGAGAAATCAGGCGTAAAAATGGTCTCACTACATGTGATTGTAACTATATTTTTAATTAGGGTGAATGTATTAGTGATCATGATGATGAAGATATTGTACTGAGAGACTTATGAATGATAGTCACAAGTGTGGTAAAATAGTTTATTGATTATGTGTGTAATTGTTACTTTTCCTTAGAATTTTTGATGCGGAAGATTATTCTGGAAATATTAGTATAGTAGGTGCTCCTTTAATTCATATTAATTTATTAATTTAGCAAGGCCACTAGTATACATTCTATAGTTACCTTATCTCACTAAGTTTCAAGACAAGAATATCTTAGGTTTGTTTCAGTAATTTCATGTGAAAAGCTAAATTTATTATTCAGGTTGTGATGAACTGAAACTTTCTTGTTTAAAGCTCTTGTTAAGGTCGGTTTAATCATAGTGTTTTAATTTATTATCATCATTTGTCATTATAGTTCACTTCAAATAGCATTGAATTTTTTTGTGAACCTGCCTTCATCATGCTGGTTAAGGAAGGTATGTAGTTCCTTTGCTTATGTAGAATTTATGCCTCATTATAGTTATGTTATGGAACTAAGCTTTGTAGGACTATGTGTGACAAGATACCTTTGAAAGATCTGCTTCACTACATGGAACCCGAGAGTTCATTAATGTTGGAGATTTTGGGAAATTAATTTCTCAGTAATGTAAGTTTATTATTTTAGTACCTTCTTAATTTATGGCTCTTTAGGTGTCTTAAGTTACAAAACATAAAGTGTCTTACTTGTGGAACATTGGTAGACTATGATGAAGAAAACAATTATAATCTTTTTTTGGTTTTAATAATAATTCCAAATCATTGTAAATTGATAAGGAATAATAATTAAGTATTAATTAAGCATAACAGGAAGTACGTCATAATGAGGCTTAATGAATATCGTTATCGTTGTCGGATCAGATCTGGCACCAGAATAATTCGTCAATATCGGATCAGGCCATTGCCCCAAATCCTCTGTCAAGGCTCGATCATCAGTAATGATTCAGGCCTGTATCAGGACTGGTCCATGTTCCAACTCTTGGGCGTGTAGTTCTACAACAAATTGTCAGGCAAAGAGTTAAAGTAGATCTATAAGTTGTGTTCTCTGGTTAATAGATCTAACTGAAGATGACAATTCTCTCCTTTTTGTTTGCACTTTTATGCTTACAAATAAGTCATGGTAAGTCCTTGTCATTTTAAATTTGGCTCAGTAGATTCTACTAAAATATAAGTATCTATATAGATCTACCTAGATTTGTTTAATTTTATTATTGTATAGGAAAGACCTATAATAATTCTGCTACTAGTTTTTACTTTGGAGTAATGAGAATGATATATAATGATGAATATTTTGCAATTTCAACTTTATCTCCTCTCAATATCAAATTTAATATCAGGGCTGACTCACTAAATTTTTTTCGTAATGGAATAGTAACGAAGAATAGACCAAATTCATATTATTCCTCAACATTAGCAACACGTTCCAGCTCTTTTGCTGATCGATTTAGAGGAATTCATGTTACAAGTGATCAACCAATAAATGTACTATTTCGTTCACACACTTTGGAGTATCTCATTTTACCATATCATGAGTACCCAGGAGTCAGTCAGTATGAATATTATGCTGTTTCTACTAGTAGTTACCGTAACACATCTCTTAGTCAAGTTCTTCTTGTTGGTTGCATTAATAATACTGTCATTAATATTATACCAACAGTTGATCTCTTCATTCCTATTGATGTACAGAAGAGTGGCAGTGATGATATATTAGTAACTAAAGGTAACTCTCATACTATTACACTACATGAGGGACAGACTCTATTGCTGGGTAAAGGGAATGGAAGTGATATATCAGGAACACACTTTATTTCTAATAAACCACTGACTGTTATTACTGGTCATCAGTGTGGCAGTACTCCTGACATGATAGAGCACTTTCATTGTAATGAGATGCAGTTACAAATTCTTCCAACAATAACTTGGGGTAAAAAGTTTATTCTAACAAACTTTCGTAATACCGTTGACAAATCACTATATTCTTCTATTGTAAAGACAGTCACTTCACAAGCCAACACTAGTATAACAATATACTGTAATGGAACCACTAACACTACAAGATACTCTACCAATGGTGCAATTGGTACATATCAGTATAACATAACTGAATATTGTTACATGGAAGCTGATAAACCAATATTTGTTGTCCTGTTTCCTCACTCATATTTCTATTATTATACTACTATGGTATTGATACCACCAATTGAACAATATCTTCAAGAGGTTAATTTTTATTGGGTTCCCCTTTATTATTATTATTCAAAGCTTGTTATTACAGCATCAGTTGAAGGATTCTCTCCTACAGCTATTCTACATAATGGACTAGCAACAGTAAACTGGACAGCCGTATATGATTCTTCAAGGAACATTGTGGCATATGGAACTGAAATTAAAATTAATCCATCTACTAATCATTCAGTAATTCATACTGATAGAATTGGGAAATTATCTGTTCAAATACAGGGCTATGACTACATAGCTGATATCTATGGACGACCAGCAGTAGTTTTATTAGAACCAAGTAAGACGTGTATTCACTTTAAATACATGTACATTTATTTTTGTTAGATGTGATTCCAGTTTGTAATTTTTCTTGTGGTAATGGTAACTGTGTTGCCGATAACTTGTGTCAATGCTTTGATGGTTGGACTGGAGATCAGTGTGATGAAGGTATGGATTAATTTTACTTGCATTGTGTAACAGTATCATATTGCATAAATATTATGTAGTATTATGTAGTCCAGTATGTGGTAATGGATATTGTGTACCAACTAACAGTTGTGTATGTAATCCTGGTTGGACTGGAGACAGATGTAGAATAGGTTAGTTTACCCAATTATGCATGTATGTATGCATCTTATACTTATTATTACTTTAATAGATATTGATGAATGTAGTCTTGATGTGTGTAATCAAATATGCATAAATACTCAAGGATCATATACTTGTGAGTGTAACCTTGGATATCAGTTTATAAATAACAATTCAACTTGTGAAGGTAAAATAATTAAATACATTGTTACTCGAACTTTTAATATGATGTACATGTTTACACAGATATTAATGAATGTGAGACTGTTGATCACAATTGTACACAAACTTGCAGTAATACAGTTGGATCATACACCTGTTCTTGTAGAGCTGGATATAAAGATAATGGATATGGGAATTGTACAGGTAAGAACTATCACTGAAACAATACTGCTTGAAAAAGAATATATGTTATTTGATATTCCTTCCAAGAAGCCTTGTTCTTTATTTTATCTAATCATAGTATTCTTTGCCAATCAATTGTAATAACCAAAAGGCAGTCCTTTCAGAATTAGATTTTTAAGACTAATGGTAAACATGTTATGTGACTCCTTTGTAGTATGCCCACCTACCCACAATCTAATCACTGTTGTCTTTGTAGTGTTGTTACTCAGTATTCCTTTCCCATACATATACATACAGATATTGATGAATGTTCAATGGGTACCAGTGGCTGTCAACAACTCTGTTTTAACACTAATGGAAGCTATTACTGTCAATGTAATACTGGATACAAACTAATGAATGATAATTCATCTTGTGATGGTATGTACAGTCACTGTATATTGTGTGTATTGTGATACAATCTTCATTTAGATATTAATGAATGCATTGAGGATCCTGGAGTATGTCCTTTAAGAAGTAACTGTATTAATACATTAGGGAGCTATCAGTGTAACTGTATTGATGGATATCAAATGAACAACACTGGAATGTGCATAGGTATGATATAATTCCTACTATTGTAATGCATTTCCATTGTATTATAGATATTGATGAATGTGTTACTGGTACTCACAGTTGTC